GCGATCACAGCAGGAGAGAAGGGCTCCGGGCTCCGGCTCCAGGACGCGCTCGAGTGTGCAGCTGCTTGTTTGGGGAATGCAGAAAATACCGCGCGACATTCCACACGGCGCTGCCCATATTCATTCCGCAACAGGTTTCGAATTATCTTTGCCCTACATTCCAAAACGCGCCTCTCCACCTCTCCCTTTTTTCGATACACATCGGAAAATATAATTAACTCGGATAATTTACCTTGAACGGCAATCAAAGGCTCCGGTCTTAATTTCGATATACGGAGAAAGAGAAGAGATGTTAGCGGATTTTAATTCCCTTTTGTTGGGTTGATTCGTAAATAAGCTCCGTTTTACTTAACAAACTGAATTTCTATATTTAAAAGATGTTATAATAGTACAAGTACCAATTGGTAAATGATACACTCTTAACTGCTTGCAATAGATAAAATGAATAGATTATACTGTGGATAATATTGGGTTTTTTTTTTTTTTTTTAGAAGAAATGATTCAATAATTATATAGCGGAACTTATTTACACAGACAAAATTACAGACCATTACAGAAAAAAAAGAAGTGTCAAATCGAAACTTATATACTCCTATATATACGTAACAATCTATAATCTTGTAAGAATTTCAACTTTTTTTTTTAACTTTTTTTTCTTTTGGTTGAACTTCGTTAACATTACTATATAAGCGACGGTTGTTCCAATTTGTTGGTAAACTAACTAATAGTTAAATCATATATGGCCTTTTCCTTCAAATTAAACAAAAATAGACATTTGACTTAACTATTAGTTAGTTCGCCAACAAGTTAATTGGAATATCCGACTCTTAACGACTTCAAGCAAGTTCATTCAAGCAAGTTTTCTCTTTAACGAAATATAATCTCATTTCTCATTTCCAGGTTATAGATACGAGTATGTATTTGTTGATTTGACACTTCTTTTTTTTCTGTGTCTAAATCAACCTATACACACACTATATCTTTGTGCAGAAATCGATCGCTTTGAATGGATCGCAAATTCACGTATAAACTTCGTAAAAAAAAACCGTATCAGTTCTCTTTCTTTGCGATAAAGATATTTCTTCTATTAGCCGACAGCGTTTCCGCAAGTGAACAATGTTAACACTCTCTCGTACCACAACGTTGATCCCGACAAACCGGCAAACGACTTAATGCGATCTGCCTGTTTACTAGACAGCGCACTTAACTGACAATCGGTTGACGCGGTGACGCCGAGTGTTGCGCGTGCAATGCGCGCGTTTTCCGCTGCGAATGACCGGAGTGGCCTGGTGGTCGCCGCGCCGATCGGTGAAAGCGCGATCATCAATGGTAACTCCGCGTGATAACGTTCCTCACGAGGAGCCGCTTCTAGCCTGCCGATGTCCCTGCACTCGTGAACCCTCTCCACGTAAGTGCAATCCACACACATGACGTAATCTATAATAAGGTTCAATGAGGTACGATACTCGCGCCTCGAGTGACATAATCGTCCTCGTTGCGTAAGATGACGAAGGCTGCAAGTAGAACAATCAATGTTCCAGCTCGAATCGACACTCTGATGGCAGAAAATTCTTCGAGAAACTCGCCGATTCGTGCATCGACAATTGCACGATGTGATTATTCAACAATATGCAATTAATGATCTTTCTTTATTACAAAACGGAAAAGTAACGACGTCGAGGCTCGTAACGATGCACGTAAATACTAGATACGCCGGTTATATCATCAAAATATCCAATACGTTAACCGAGGCTCGTCTTCCTCTTCCTCATTCTATTGTCGCGGCCGCCAACATGTCATTACAAATGGTCATCACACGCGGCGCGAATATCGTAGCGCAAATAATGGTACGGCATATACATCGCGTGATTATGACGACGTCAATCCGAGGAGACAAAGACCTGTCCAGATACACAAACGTTGCTAATGTCGACTTAATCTCGCGTTACATCTCACTTCGCTGAACTATGCATTGTCCAGGAACATGACGCGTTGGATTTGCGTTATTTTGAAATCCTTGAATTTTATGTATATTTTCAAACATCCAGACGTCGCCGAATAGAGAGCCATTCTTAAGAAGCGAGACGAATCGAGAGACTCCCGTTTCTTTCTCGCGAATAAAGAGAATCTTCGAGCAACCCGAACGCAAAAATCCGCACGGTCAGCCTTGTCGAATATCTCTTTCTTGTAAACAGTCTAAACACAACTCATTATATTGCAAAAGATCGAAGGCTGCTCAACTCCCACCAATATCGCGCTCGACGCTTTTAGATTCGGTGATCGTCCTTTCGAACATTTAGTAGCGATTTAACCCCCCTGAGACGCGCGATATTTGTTCGATGCTGGCTCCGACAGACCCAGCCGTCGTGTTTGTTCAACAATTTTGTTCGCGACGCGTTCGTGGTCGAGTGCGCTCGCAACGTTTTCATAATAATCTTCGGTACATTAATTTTTATTTACTGTCAAAACAATCCTCTTTGATAATAGTCTTGTTTTGAGAAGATTGCACTCTGATTTTAATTGGCGACTTAGTATAAAAAAGTGAACAGGTGTACCCCAGCGACGCGATTGAGTCGCATCAGTACGCGACCAGTGTCTTCGTCGTGCGAATCGTTATCGACCGTGCCGGATATTTTTTTTTTCTTTGCAGGATGAGGAGGAGCGGCATGAACGGACGAGGAGTCGGCGACAACGGCGAAGGAGCGTTGGTCCTGCTCCTCGTCGCATTGACTCCTGTTATCTGCTCCGCCGGAATCCTGGACCCTTGGCAGTGGGCGCGCAGCGATCGGATCGAAGTCAACATACCTTGGCTGCCTTGTAACTATCATTCATAGACAGATTAGAAAGAAGATCCAATCGTAGTAACGTTAAGGGGCGATTCTCCTTTACAATATTAGAAATATGCGCATATTAAATGTACTCTATCGTTCAATAGTTTGAAAGCACATTTTTTTTTAAGAAAAACAGAACAGTGGTGCTAATACAATACTTCCGAAGAAAAATGTCATATGAGAAACTTTACTGTCTGTTTTAACTATTTCTGAATAGTTTATTTTTCAAGGAAGGATTTCAGTTAAAGAATTTTACATTTAAACAAGTTTTCATGGTTCGAGTAAAATATAATAATAATGAAGATAACAGTTATATTTTACTCAAATTATGAAAACTTGTTTTTTCTTCATAACAGAACAATGGCGTAGCATGTTCACTCGGTAAAATTCTTTAAATGAAATCCTTCCTTGGAAAATGATTAGAAACAAATAATACTGTGTTGAATAGTTAAAACGGACAGCAAATTTTCTCATATTACATTTTTCTTTGAAAACATTAGCACAGTTCTGTTCTTTCTTAAAAAAGTAGTGCTTCCGAACTTTTAAACGGTATAATAGTGTATGTATATTGAGATTTATTGCCTTCCACGCGCGCATCTTTTGCCAACTGTGAAATTTTTCTCGTCGTAAGGTATATACGGTTCATAGAATAAAAATTAATCGCAATTACTCAATGAAGGGACGATTTCTTTCAGTCGAGAACGAGACGCGCTGTTACGACGAGCTGGGCTGCCTGAACATCACCAGGAGCTGGTACCACCTCATTCATCGACCCCTCAACGTTTTCCCGTTGCCGCGGGAGGTCATCAATACCAGATTCATCCTCTACACGCATAAGAATCCCCTGGACGTAAGTTCGACGTTTCGACGGATAAATATCCTATTCGGACGACGACAGTCAGACGGCACGGGCGAGCGTCTCGAAAGCGCGTTTCGCGTTTTGGCGCGTAACGCGAAAGTGAAACCTGGATGAGATAGATCGAAATTCATCGGCGACTAGAATTTCACGGCTAGTAAATCCGATACGGTGTAAACGCTTCCGTATATATGTAACCGCGCGCACATCGAGAAATTGTATTTAAAAGCCCGTCGGGATTCCGTCCCGCGACAAGAATAACCGGACGGAGTATCCTCCGTCTCGCCTCCTATCGCGAGCGGGATCAGCCGTAAATATTCAATGCCCATAGATATCTTAATTAGTTTCATTAATTAAACAAAACTGCACGTGCCGGTGAACGGACGATGGTGCTAACACGGCGCACGCCGCGTGCCATTCTTACGTGCGTGAAGATAAGATTTCTGATTTATGAATTAATGGATATCCAAGGAGGAAGAGAGCTGCGGGTTTGTGTGAAGTATCGTGCTGCGGTTTCAGCGGCATAACGCGCGGTGAAATCAACACATGCCTACCACATAACTGCGCACGCAAATGTATATATCATTCGCCTCGCATAAAATCGCTGAATCGTGAAATTAAAATTAATACTTTTGTGCACTGCTTCATGATTCGCAAATAAAATCCGTGACGTCGCGATATTTTTAATAATATTCTTTTTCTTCAGAAAAAAAATACACATCTGTCTCTGAATGTAATTTTTGCTACTAGCATCTGTCCTCCTCA